GTGGGCTGCCTCATGTACCTGATGACTTGCACACGACCTGACCTCGCATACCCTCTCAGCCTTCTGGCTCGCTACGTGGCTCCCGGTAGGCACCGAAAGGTGCACTGGGATGCTGCGAAGAGGGTGTTGCGATACTTGTGCAGTACATCGGGCATGGGGCTCGTGCTTGGAGGACGGGCTCGAGTTGTCCTCACTGGTCACGCTGACGCCTCCTGGGTTGACGACTTGGCTACGCAGCGGTCGTCACAGGGTTACACCTTCAGCCTTGGCTCCGGTTCTGTCTCTTGGCGGTCTAACCGCTCTTCTTCTGTTCTCAGCTCCAGTTGTGAGGCTGAGATCTATGCTGGGGCCATGGCTGCACAGGAGCTACGCTGGCTCACCTACCTGCTGACTGACTTGGGAGAGGCGCCTCGTTCTCCTCCAGTTCTGTACGTCGACAACAAGGCCATGCTGGCCTTGTGTCAGGAGTACAGACTGGAGCACAGAACGAAGCACATTGCTCTGCGCTACGTCCTTGCTCGAGAGTTGCAGCAGCGTGGCCAGCTTCGTCTAGCTTACGTGGCCTCTCAGGCCAACACTGCTGATGTTTTCACCAAGGCACTTCAGCCTTGTGATCATCAGCGCTTCTGTACTGTGTTAGGCCTTGTACCTACTGTGCCTCACTTGCTTTCTTCTTGACTCTGCCTGTACTGTACTCTTTGTACATATACCTGCATGCTTATACTTGCTAGGTTGTGTTCACTGTATTGTTTGCTTTCCTTTATATAACTCTGCATGTGAACTGGCCTTGTGGCCCTTTGCTTGTGCTCAGACTGCGTGGTGACTTTGTGATCCACCCTGAGCTTGCTTTGCTTTTCTTGACTGGTCTTGTGACCCCTTGTTCTCCCCCACTTTGCCTATGGGGGTGTGTCAAACTTATATATGCTATAGTCTGTTTAGACTGTAGTGGGGTAGTCCTTAGAGGGTACAACACTTTTGTGTTGTCTACTTGTACCCCACATGTTTCCTAGTTCATCATTCATTCCTCAATTCTCTCACAGTGCGGTAGGGGAAGAGACGGTAAAAGGGAACCGACTCGTTCAAACGTGACGTCCTGAGAGGGCAGGACACGACGCGAGGTGGGGTGGTAAAACTACCAGCCAGGCGCGTCAGGGGGAAAGCCTAAGAAGACGCCGAGAATGGAGCGGGAGGAGAGCTTGTCCGCGGAAGTATCGCGGACAAAGGCACGAGAGCCCTAGACCCGTAACACCAACGCATCGCCAACCTTCCCCGTCTGACGCAGTGTAGGCGAGGTCTCCGGCAAGGAGACACAGGGCCAGAGGTTGAGCTGATGTGCAGCGTACTGGACCGCAAAAGGCCACAGAAAGTGGGGATCAGCCGCATGTATCATGGAGGTACGAGCCACCTCCATGACTAAGCCAATGCGGCGCTCAGCAACCCCATTTTGTTGCGGGGAGGCCAGAAGCGTGAACGACTGGAGGATGCCCTCCCCACGACAAAAGTCCCGCAAGAGGTCGGAGGAGAACTCACCACCTCTGTCAGAGTGCAGACGCAGGACTGGAAGGTCTTCACAGAACCGCTCACGGAGCTGGAGATGGACTGCGCGGATCGAAGGGATCAAGACATCAGGGACCTCACCCTTGCTGCGCAAGGGGAAGACCGTGGTGTAACACGTCTAGTCATCAACAACTAGCAGGAAGTAGCGCTCGCGATCCTGTCCACTGACGGGGGCTGGGCCCCACACGTCCATGTGGAGAGTCTGCGGGGGAGCAGTAGTCGGGGGAAACGAGGAGGAGTGAGGAGCGGCGCGCTGCCGCCCCTCGACGCAAGGAAGGCAGGGCGGGAGGGGAGGCAGGGAAGTAGGAAGACCAGAAACAAGGAGGCGGGAGTGCATGCCACGAAGGTGTGGCAGGGAGGGGTGATCAAGGCGGTGGTGCCAAAGGAGAGTCTGGTGCGACAGGAGGCGACACGAGCAGGGGGCTGCTACCGGACCTGACGCGGACACCTGAGCAGACGCAGCTACCTGAGGAGGCTCAGTAGTCAGTGTGTACAGACTCGACCCAGGCCGACGGGTGAACGTGGCCAGGTGACGGCCCGTCCATATACACGTGCAGATCGACACACGCTGACCCCTCAGGAGTGGTGGTAGTGACCATCGCATCCTGGAGGGCAGCGATACTCACCAAGTTCATAGAGAACAAGGGGAGGTGAACACCTGAGAGTGAGCCGGACGGAACCGCCGAACACGGGAGAACAGTGGAGGAACGTGCAAGAACTGGGCCCCCTGAGGGGTCAGCCAATCTGACTGGAACAGGTGCAGGGAGTGGAGTGAGTGTGGTACTGTCGCGAAAAAAACAGCGGGAAGCACCTGAGTCAAGTGTGAAGGTGTGCATGGCCTTAGCAGGCGCAGTACCAGGGAGAGCGGACTCACTAGCACCTAGAGCAGCAGCCTCTATACCTGGGTCGGGCAGCACACACAGGTAACAGTCACCCTCAGCACTAACATACAAGGCATACATGGCAGCAAGGATAGCATCATAGTCAAGAGCAAAGATATCAACACCAAACCTAAGCAGCTCTAGCCAGCGGGGGCGCTCAGCCTCGTCGCCAAACTCTGCGCGCCAAGCGTCATCAAGGCGGGAGAAGCAGCGGTGCTGTGTGTGAAACTTCTTCGCATGTCTGGCCAGCGCGGTCACATGTGCGAATGACATACGGGCAGCGAACACTACCCCCAGGCGCCCCATGCTAAGCAAACCACTCACGAAACTGCTGGGGCGTAGGGGTCTCGCTCCGACGCTGCGGCTGCTGCCTCTGGCCACCGCCAGAACCTCCCCTCTGAACAGCTCCACCCCGACCGCCACCACTGCCGCCGCCACCACTCCCACTACCGCCACCACCGCCACCCCCACTCCCACCGCTGCCACCACCGCCGCCACCGAAGCCCCCACTCCCGCCACCACTCCCACCGCTGCCACCACCTCCGCCACCTCCACCACCTCCACCGCCTCAACCACCACCACCCCCGCTGCCACCACCACCACTCTTGCCACCCTTGCCCTTGTCGCTACGGCGCTTCCCACTAAGATCAGAAGCAGCCCCGACATCCTTAGTACCAAGCATGTCAACAGCAGCAGCAGAAGCGTAGGAGGGGGCAAGGGGGGAGGGGGAACACCCCTCAAAGAAGGGTGTGCGAGGAGTGCCACGAGCAGCACCTACAGCGACTACGCTAGTCTCAGCTGCAAGGAGGTGCTTGTCGAGCAGGTCGACAGTGAGGTCTGTGGGGTCAAGTGCGAGAAAGTGGTCACTGACTACGCAAAGAGAGTCAGGGAGGCGGATGACTATGAAGTAGTGAGTGATGTACATCGGGGGCGGGTTCTTGTCTAGGAACTCGGCTGGGAGGGCAGCGCGGTAGCGAGTGTCGCTAGTGCGAAGGTGGTTAATGAGGTCCTCGACTGTGGCAAAGGCTGAGAGCTCGAGAAAAAAGTAGGGCAGTATAAGGCGGCCGAGAGCATCAGTGGCAGGGGAAGAGTAACGAGCGACTAAAGCGTCGTACATGGCTTTAGCAGTCTTGTGCTGGCCAAAGTGAGCGCGTTCGGCTAATGGCAGGTGGTTGCGAACGGCTAAGCGAGCAGCAGTGTCACGGGTGAGCCACTGCGAGCGAGTCGCACTGTTAGCTGTGGCAGAAGGGGCGAGAGAGGCTCTAGACGTGTGGTCAAACAACGAAACGCTGTCTTTATAATCGCTCAGTAGGTACAGCTGTAAGTCGTCGAGCCACGTATCGAACTGGATCGGACGGCCCTCATGATCGAAGGTGAGAACACTTAGAGAAGCCATAGCGGGCAGAGCAGGGTGGCGCGCGACCAGCTGGATAGCACGCAGGCAGGGCGGCGCGCGAGCACTAGGGAAGCGCGCAGGGCAGGGCGAGGCGGCGCACGGCTGGGGAAGAGCGGCGCGCGGCCAGGGCAGGGCAGTGCAATGGCAGGGCAGGGCGGGGCGCGGGCAGGGCAGGGCGGGGCGCGGGCAGGGCAGGGCAGGGCGGTGCGGCTGCCAGTAGGGCGGCGCGCGGGCAGCAGGGCGGCGGCTAGCAGGGCGGCGCAGAGCAGGGCGGGCAGCAGGTAAAGAAGGTGAAGGGGGTGCACACGATGGTTAGTCACAACTCACGGACTGTACCTCGGTCTGTTCTGGTGCGTTACGTTCGGAATTGGTTTGACGGGTGGAGAGTCGTTGTACCTCGAATCTCCGTTGTTTGCTTTGGTACCCTTCTTTCCCAACCTAATTTCTGCCATGGCTGGGCTTGAGAAACGATTGACCCCAGCGAGCTTCACGAACGCGTCACACTGCATTATAGCTTTCTCGGAAGCCAATCATAGATCGCCTATTTTTTCTTAGAGCTGCTAGGTTGCAGCCAATAACAGGCCGGAGTTCAGTATTTCACAGGCGTTGGCAAGAATGACGAATTTTGATTCGACGCTACATGCCTTCCGGCAGATGCGCTCGTCCGTCTTATTGATGGTTCGCGATAACACCTGATGCGCCTCGATTCACCTCCGAGTTTGAACTTGAGTTATCGTCCTGCTGAGATACCTTCACGTAATCTCCAATCATCCCGTCCATCGCTCTCCACCTTCAGCCGTAATGGCCTGTTTTCCTGGTCCTTCCATCCCCGAGCCACAACGCGACCACAAATAAGGGTGATTCCAGTCCTTACGAACCCATCCAGTTCCGCATTCCGTTTACCTATTTCCTGGAAGTAGTAACTTGCTCCCTCTTGCAACCCAATTTCCAGTTGACTCTTCTTTACATCATGGCCTTGATTCGTGCTCGTTCCGTCTTACTGTTTGGTAAGCCTTAACTCTGCCGTGCGTCCGCAACACCAATGCCAGCCCACTCCTAACTCATTGCTTGCCAGCTCAATCCAAACCTATCGGCTGCCAGCTGTCAACCAGGCATTGTAACCCAGTCGCTAATCTCGCCTCTCGTCGTGTGTGTGCTTCGTGCAGCGTTCCTTGTGGCGGCGCTGGTGCCGGATGCCTACGCCAGAAAGAAAACTGTTCTTAAAAAACCATCTCGCGTTGTGTTTGGTAAGTTCGAGATTCATCGTTTCATACCCAATAATCACCTCTGCGTCCACCTTTACCCAATTTCAAGGCACCTGACTTTCCAACCTGAACTCACGCTTTCTCTTTCAAATGTCCCACCTCCACCATCCTTTCCCACCCCCCCACCACCCCCCTCCCCCCCTCCCCCCCCCCCCCCCATCCACCTCGCCTCCCCTTCCGCCTTGATCTTCCCTCCTATCCTCCTCTCCCCTCGGTTTCTCTTACAACAGACACCGTTGTTTCCAGCCTGTATGGAGACTACGAGGTTCCCAAGAATGACTCTGAAGCTGCCAGGAAAGCCGTCAACGACCCAATTGCAGCGGCGCATATGACACTGAAAATCTACAAGTGAGTTTGTCAGCCTGAATTCCGCAGCTCTAACAGGGAGCTTCTATGGGTGCTCTGAGTGTCTTCTTCCATCGTTTAAGCTCACCTCCGTCATGCCATGCACACTTATGATGTCTTAAAGGCTAACTTCGTTATGATGTCTTCAACATTTACCTCGCTGTGATGTCTCCAGAATTAACCCTAGTTCCTCTTATGTGTGATACTCAGGAGAAACGGCAAGACTCTGTGGCTGGAGTACGAAGTATTTGCTTCTGGCCTGGCAGGCGAGGTGTCGCCAATTCAAACACACGTACACAACGCAGCAGCGGGATCGAACGGTCCCAAGGTGTTGGATCTGCCCTGCGAATACAAATTCCAAGAGAACATGAATATCTGGCAATGCGACGGCGTGCTAGGGAAGAATTTGGCAGAACTGACACCGACGCTTGTGTCGACCCTCAAGGCAATTTCGACGAATCCGAATGGGTTTTATGGGAACATTCACACCGTGACGTATCCTGACGGCGCTGTGCGTGGGCAGTTTGAAAAAAAATAGTGGGTGAAGTTGGTCTGAGCTGACCATGAGTGGCTAAGTCTCAGAAGCAACGGAATGTTTGCATTAGGGGTGAGAAGCAATACAAGTAGCAACCCTAACTGAGTTGTACTCTCTAGGGAGTACCTCATTGCAGCCTATAACAATTATATGCATTTGACACTCCCCCATAGGCTACCGTAAGTGAGGGATACCCAAAGACTAGCAAGCGAAACAACGGCCACAAGCAGGGTCCACGATATCAGGGTACAACATCCTGATTACCCTGATTTCATTATGGTGTTTTAAGGTTGCCCTGGAATTTCAGAATGACGCTGAAATATACCTTGTAACTTCAGGATGATTCATGTGTTTTGCCCTGAATTTCAGAATGGCAGTGAAATTTTGCCATGAAGCGTTAGGGTGAATGCAGAGGGATGCCTTGACTCGTGGGAAGGGGAAGAAGGGGTGGAGGGGGGAGAGAGGGGGAGAGGGGAGGATATCGAGAGAGCTGTGCAGGAATGATTGGATTAGCAAGATTTGGGATATCTAGAAGTGATGTACCCCATAAGGAGTGCCCCACTATAGCCTACAAGTAAGATTGTACTTTGACACACCCCTATAGGCTAAGTGGGGGACAACAATGTTGGGCTGAGAAAAGCCCTTAGGATCTTTGCAGGACAGAATTCAGGGGTAGGACAATGTAATAGCGGAAGCGTTAAGTAAAAGACTTGTGAACCACCTTGCGCTAGTATGTGAGGGCAAAGTTGATTGATTAATAACAAAGAGATACAAGCTTTTATAAGAATACAAGGGAATATGAAAAGGTTATAACTAATAACCGTTTTACCATTGCTGTTGCGGTTCGATACAGTGTCGACTCGGGCAACTGTCTTAGAAGCTAGGCATGAGTGATGTCGACTATCGAGAAGGTTGGTACAAGGAAAATGAACCTAAGGGGTTGTACCCCACAGTGTGTACCCAGGGCCAGAAATTGGTTTCGGGGCACCCTGCCATATCAGGGTCCCCCTGGCCCCTTTGCCTGACAGTCAGGGTGAAAAAAAAATTGCCCAGTGCTAATCAGTGTGTTTTGGCCAGTATTCTGTCTTTGTAAGGGTATTTATGGAACCACCCTGAATGCAAGAGCAAAATCCAAATGCCACTACCTCATACTTGTGGTAAGGTATGTTTTGTAGAGCTGACAGTGCGAAAGTGACTGCTGGGGCCAGTTTTGTAACCAATCTCGGTCGAGTGGCCACACGAGCCCTGTTGCACAGAAACAACACGAAGGAAGTCTGTTTCAGTGCATTTCAAAAAGTACCCTGACTCGTCAGGGGAAAACTCGGGGAGGCCTGATTTTGAAAGTGTATTTCAAAAACTACATTTTTACAGTCAGGGTCGTTTGGCAAATACACGTACTAAATCAGGGCAATCCTGGAAAAGCGGCCCATAGCAAGGGTAGAAAGGGTAAAACACCCTTGAATTTTGGGCCCTGTGTGTACCCCACTAAGCCTACCCAAAATATAACATAGATATACATATGCTTGACACACCCCCATAGGCAGAGTGGGGGAGAACAGAGGGTCACAAGACCAGTCAGGAAGTGCAAAGCAAGCTCAGGGTGGATCACAACGTCACCACGCAGTCTGAGCACAAGCAAGAAGGCCACAAGGCCAGTTCACATGCAGAGATATATATGTAACAACAACAGTACAGTGAAATCTACTTACAAGAACAAGCATGCAGAAATACATATAAATCATGGTACAAACAAAGCCTACAGCAAGTGAGGAAGAGTGGGCACAAGGCCTAACAAAGTGCAGAAACGCTGATGATCACCAGGCGGAAGTGCCTTGGTGAATATATCAGCAGTGTTGGCCCGAGTGGCCACGTAGGTAAGACGAAGCTGGCCACGCTGCTGCAGCTCTCGAGCAAGAAAGTAACGGAGAGCGATGTGCTTCGTTCTGTGCTCCAGTCTGTGCTCCTGACACAAGGCAATGGCGGCCTTGTTGTCGACGTACAGCACTGGAGGAGAACGAGGCCGCTCTCCCAAGTCAGTCAGCAGGTAGGTGAGCCAGCGAAGCTCCTGTGCAGCCATGGCTGTGGCGTAGATCTCAGCCTCACAACTGGAGCCGAGAACTGAAGACGAGCGTGTAGAACGCCAAGAAACTGAACCAGAGCCAAGGCTGAAGGTATAACCCTGTGACGACCGCTGCGTAGCCTGGTCGTCAACCCAAGAAGCGTCCGAGTGACCAGTGAGGACAACGTCACCCCGTCCTCCAAGCACGAGCCCCATGCCCAATGTACTGCACAAGTAGCGTAGTACCCTCTTGGCAGCATCCATGTGCACCTTTCAGTGCCGACCAGGAGCCACGTAGCGAGCCAGAAGGCCAAGAGGGTACGCAAGGTCAGGACGAGTGCAAGTCATCAGGTACATGAGGCAGCCCACTAACTCTGGGTAAGGACCACTCGACTCTACAGACTCGTCCGAAGGTGGAGCTGAGAGCGAGTGACCTGTAGCCAGAGGAGTGGCCTGTGCTGAGGACCAGGTGAAACCGAAGCGCTGAAGGACCTGCTGCACCATGTGTGACTGAGTCAGTGTGATGGTGCGGCGTGCTCTGTCCCTGGTGATCTGCAAGCCAAGGTAGCTGCGCAGTTCACCCAGGTCTGTGCACGTGTGTCTCTTCTGCAGCTCCGACTTCACCAGGGCGAGAGCATCAGTGTCAGCAGTGGCAAAGACCAAGTCGTCGACGTACATGAGAACGTAGAATGGCGGCAGCGAAGTGTCGGTGCGCAAAAACAGCGACGGGTCAGCAGTCGACGGAGCAAACCCAAGAGCCGCAAGTGTCGTCCTCAGTGTGTCGTGCCACTCACGTGGCGCCTGGCGGGGACCGTAGACCGGCCGCCGGAGGCTCCACTGGGTACTAGGAGGGAACGACCCAGTGAAGCCAGGAGGGCGGCGCAACCAAATCTCCTCGTGCAGGCTGCCCTGTAAGAAGGCTGTGCTGAAGTCAAGAGAGTGAAGCTCGTAGTCACGCTGAGCGGCAACGTGCAGCAGCACCCGAAGAGTGGTCATCTTCGGGGTGGGGGAGAAGGTCTGGAAGAAGTCAACTCCCTCTCGCTGACTGAAGCTTCGAGCCACGTAACGAGCCTTGAAGACAGGCGGAGAACCTGGCGGCCGCTTCACCCTGAAAATCCACATGCCACTGACAATGTTCGCCCCAGGAGGGGGAACCTCGTCGACGTAGGTGCCTGTGGACTTCCAGGATGCCATCTCTGCGTCCATGGCTGTTTGCCACTGAGAGGAGTACTCACCCGCGATCGCCTCAGCGTAAGAGCGCGGGGTAGGGGTGTCTGGTGCATCCGGGTCTCCCTCAGGGGCAAGCAGCATGGATACGAGATGAGGCGCAGCAGCTGCAAGACACTCAAGGTCCTCCTGCCTGTCCTCAAGGACGTCCGTGCCAAGAGCACACTCACCCCCGACGGACGGAGGACAGACAGACGTAGACCCAGCAACAAGACTGGCGGCGTAGTCTAGACGACAGTGAGCAGCAAAGGCAACAAGCTCAGTGACTAAGGCAGACGCAGCAGCAGACTCAAACGACGGGTCAGTGACAACAGTGGCAAGCAGACGCGTGACAGTAGAGTGCTCAGCACGAAACCGGTCAGACGCAGGGTCAGCAACGACAGGCAGAGAGGACGCAGGGGGAGGCGGCAGAGGAACACGCGGGGAAGGAGAGGAAGGACGACGAACTACAAGGGGAGGGCCGGAGACAGCCGGCTGGCACTGACGAGGAACACGACGACCGGAACTGACAGGGGAGACAGGCCGCGATACAGGCTCACGACGCTCTGCAAGGCCACCAGGCTGCTCTGTGTACGGAGAAGGAGCAGGCAGCGGTGAGCCAGGCTGTAACGGAAGACCAGTAGACGAGGGAAGACTGAGAACCTGGCGAAGTGCAGAGTCAGGTGGTGGCTGAGACGACGGAGACGGCGGAGCAAAGAACAGGCGCGGCTGAGCAGTGCCACCAGCAGCTCCAGCACCTCCAGCAGCTCCAGCACCCCCAGCGGCTCCAGCACCTCCAGCAGCTCCAGCACCTCCAGCAGCTCCAGCACCTCCAGCACCTCCAGGACCTCCAGCAGCACCACCACCAGCCCCAGCAGCTCCAGTACTCACAGTACGAGCACCTCCGGGACCAGCGACACTAGGAGAAGAACCACCAGTAGGAGAGCCCTGAGGTGTAGAAGTGGGAAGCCGACGGCGACCGTACCAGTCGTGCAGCTGCTGGGAGGTGAGGGGCACACGCGGACGAAGACGGCTACTCCAAGGAGACCGCGTAACAGCAGTCTCAGAACCCTCAGGCAACTCACCCCCAGACGTAGCACTCCCAGGCTCAGCACACACAGGCTCAGCACCCCCAGACGCAGCACCTCCAGACGCAGTACCCCGAGACGAGGCACCTCCACGCTCCACACGCTCAGCGCCCCC